ATCGGGAGAAGAAATATTTCTGCTTGCTGGTAGCACTAAACTACAGAAATGAGTTTTTATATAAAATGAACTTTTTGTCTGTAGTTTTCATTTGTTTTTTATATATATATATATATATATATATATATATATATATATATATATATATATATATATTTTTGAATGAGGTATTGTGTACATTATTTACATTATTCAGACTATTGTCCTCATTTTGTCGCCATATTTATTACAACGTTTCGGTCGTTGTACTATCCGGCCTTCTTCAGGTGGTTGGAATTTTGAATTGAACCCTTTATCAGTGAAAATAGAAAGGATCTGCAGTGCATATGACATCAGGACAACCTTCCTATAGCTTAACGAAACTTCGCAGATAACTCTCCCGAGTAAGACACCCCCCACCATAGAGGAGAATATGACGAAAGACTGCGTGTACAGAATCCCGTGCAGCTGCGGAAAGAAATATAAAGGGGAGACAGGCCACCCCCTTAAAGTAAGGCTTCAAGAACACCAGAAAGCTGTAACACGAGGGCATGTGGAAAAATCAGTCGTGTCTGACCACATATAGAGAGAAAAGGGAGATCCGTGGCATCAGGTTGAGATCATAGACAAGGAACATCATTGGAAAATTCATAAACTTAAGGAATCAGCACATATTCTAGGCCACAAAAATCTCCTGAGCCGACCAAGCATAGAAATAAATACAATATGGGAACCAGTAATAAGGAGTGCCAGAGAAAAGCAATGATAACAACAAAAGTTGCAGTAAGAGCTCTGGTAAAAACAAATGATAACAGCAAAAATTGCAATAGGAAATAATAATAATAATAATAATAATAATAATAATAATAATAATAATGGTTGCTGAGACATAATACCCAGAAGTTCATACACAGGTGTCCTCAAGGTGGATAAAGGTGTTAATTAGATCCAGTGACAGGAGCCAAAGAGTGTGAGTTCAATACGCAGTTAAGGCAGTGGAGAACTTTCAGAGGGAAATTAACAGGATAACTGATATACATTAAACATGGCATAAAAAGTTCAGTTCGGCATTCCAACTACCTGAAGAAGGCCGGAGCATAAAACGTCTGAAACGTTGTAATAAATATAGCGACAAAGATGAAGACAAAAGTCCAAATAATATATATATATATATATATATATATATATATATATATATATATATATATATCAGCGGAAGGATGTGTGTGTGTGTGTAACGAATCCATGGCCGCAATTTTCGACAGATTTGGACCCAAATTTACATGTACATGCTCCAAGTTAGCGGAAATGCTAAGACCTACTTTGCATTTCCCAATTCCCATCGATAGTGGAAATAATCGATTTATTCATGCTTCTACGACAGTTTTTATGTAGTTTATGGCCGTTTTCTACTGGCCAGAGAGAGAGAGAGCCAATAGCTGGCTGATACGAATAGGCATGAAGAGTCTATTGGCCAGCGTGAGAGCCAACAGCTGACTGACACGAATGTTAATTAGCATGCAAAAAAAAAAAAAACGATAGCTGCATTCATCACAAGTGGGAAAAATTTAAATCTGCATGGCACTTTACTCCAATTGGCTCATTCGCTTGCTTAAACTCAACGTTGATTCTGATTCCACAGAACTATGTTGGGTGTGAAAAAGTATTTGTTGTTAGCATTCTTTTTTCATTCAGTTTTTCCAGTTACGAGTCATTTTTTTTATAGCTGATAGTTTTGTGTTCATTTTGTTTAGTTGTTTTTTCGTAACAGATTTAATGTTTAGTATATAGCTTAGAAAAATTCGCAGTGCAAGATAGGCAAGAAGTAAGGCATGTAGCAACATCAGCACGGCAAAGGGTACTCCTTTAAAGGCAAGGAAGGGCAAAAATATTTTAACTCAAATGCTGCTAGTATATATATATATATATATATATATATATATATATTTAAACAAATTACCATTGATCCTTTCTAATCCCCCAATAATACCCAATTTTTTTATACGTACTTTTATACATGACAAATGTATTTTTCTATAGTATAAATAAAATAGAATACATGTATGAGGGCAATAATATTAAACAGTGTTCCAAAAATAATAAAATATACTTCCTTACCTCTGACATGTAAGGGGCGGTGCTGAGTAACGGTAAATTAAATATATGTGTGGGGGGGATGATAAAAGTATAGTTTTAATTTATGCTATATTTATGTGTGCTATATTTATAAGTACTCAATATCAGAGATAATGCGTATGCACCCTGAGGTCAACAATGAGCGGAAAAAGTCTGTTTCATGCTTAAACGCAATCTTCTGTCCTGAAGATTGCTTTCAAGCCTGAAACAGATTCTTGCTGTTCGGTACTGGCCGCAGTATCCACTTATAATCCTCCCACATCACCAAAATCTTCAGCCTCTTTTTTTTCCAAAATAACCCTGTCTCGTCTCAGGTGAATACTTGTTGGGGGACGTATTCTTCCACCTCAGTCAATTCAGCGAAGGTGTTTACGTATTCTTCCGCTGCCTTCCTATCGAAACGCGCTGCCTCACTATGCCTCAAGGCGGAGTGAATGCCAGACATCTTTCTAAACTTAACAAACTAGCCACGACTGCCTTTAAATGAATCTTGCGAGTCTAAGTCTGTTGAAGTGCCTGGTGTCTGCTTCAGAAAGTCACTGTAAATCACTCGGGCCTTCTCACAAATAATTGCTTCTGTCACGGTTTCCTCCACGATTTGTTTTTCGCGCACTCACACCAATAGATGATTTTCCAACTCTTCGAGTCCGAAGTTTTGACAGAATCGTAACACCCTTGGCTGGCTTTATAGTTTTTAGTATATCTTTCTGTTTAAGATGTACTGCGAAGTAATACACACAAATTCCTTTGCCAAATCAATAACACGAATTCCCCGTTCATGTGTTACAATGATATTGCATTTCATTTCAAATGAAAATTACTCAATTCGTTGTAGCACTGTCCGTTGGATTTATTTTCTTAGGGGTCATGTTTGAGTTACAACAAAGAAATTTGGCAAAATAACTTCACAACTAAAAACAAGCGCTAAACAACGCAGATTATAACGCGTTAAGTCTTTGTATAAACGTTGCTTGCGGTGTAACGAAAACATACCTTGTGGGTTACACAAAGGAAAAAAATAAATAAAAGATTCAATGGCCACAGGTATGATGTCAGACACAACAATATGATATCAACGGAGTTAGCAGAAGATTTTTTTACACACTACTGTAATTTCAACAAACATCTTAAGGTATACATTCTTAAAAAAATATTCAGAATCTACTGACCTTGCGGCCCTTAAAACCTATGAGCATAGTTACGTATGAAAACTACTAACTTCCTGTCCCGAGAGAATGAAGAGAATGAAAGGAGAGTTCCATAAGTTTTATACTAACCTATGAGGATAGTTACGTATGAAAACTACTATCTTCCTGTCCCGGAAGAATGAACAGAATAAAAGGAGAGTTCCATAAGTTTTATACTAAACTCTTTGATTAATTCCTCTTTCTAATTAATCAAAGAACGGAGAATTCCATATGTGCAAGATCGCCATCATATTAAGTACGTTTCAGTGGTATGACTTAACGCTGGAAGCGTTTTGACACTACAGCCGTTTTTCTCAAGAAAAGTGATGTTTGTACAAACACTTATGACTTTTTATAGATTTATATATTTCATACTTGAATTTTTAAAAATATAACCTGAAGAAGACAGACATACTGTCGAAATATTGTTTAACATTGTCAAACACTGTGTCTTTTTCTTTTCTTCTCTTTTCTTAAATCGCGCTATTCTATCAGCTGTAAATAATAATAATAATAATAATAATAATAATAATAATAATAATAATAATAAATAATTTCCTGAAGATGGAAATTAAATAAAATGTTAAAACTGTTCCTATTATGATTGGAGCTTTGGGTCTGATAAAGAAAGGAACTCAACAACAAATCAAATCAGTGAAGCCCTATCACTCCAGGAAATGTTTTTGCTACTATAGATTTGTTTAATTAAGTGGGAACAACAAAACATCACACCATTTGCTTGTTAGAGTTTATTTGCACTTACCCGGCATGCGATTATGTAACACCTGTACTTAAAAAAAAACTAATTTACAATAATAATAATAATAATAATAATTGGAACATATGAAAGAAGCAAAAAATAGAAACCACTGAGACATTGTATGTGTACCAATCAGAAGCAGTTACCCAAAATAACGATGTAACTATCCTCCGGGACATGCCAATTCAAATTGACCTGATATTATCATAAAAGACAAGAAATTCAGGAAGTGTATTCTTATTTACATAGCAGTACCATCTTAGAGAAATACCTACATGAAATTTATCTAGAAATTGTTCAAATACAAGGACCTGGACATCGAGATTAACAGGATGTGGGGAAATGAAAACTGAGACTGTACCAATAGTAATTGGAGCACTGGGCCTCGTGAGAAAAGGAATGGACAATTTTATTAACGGTACCCCAGGAAACATCAACATACAATTTGCCCAGAAGATCGCCCTACTAGAAACATCCCAATACTAAGAAAAATGCTGTCAGTTAAATGACAATTCTCCTATATGGCCTAAGGACCATAGTTTGTACTCAGCTCTACAGGATACGACAGGAAACATAACATACACTGATGATAACATATAAGACCAATGATTGCTAACTAGAAATTAGGAAGCAGACATAATGGAAAATTTTGTATCCAGAATCAGTTGATATCTGCTCTGGAAAAATCTGCAAATTCTTCGAGAAGGAAACTCCAGGGAATTAGTATGAACACCACCAAAACTAGATTACAGTTTATGGATTGCTACAGTCGTTCCAAATTTCTATCGATCTAAATCTGTTTATAGTTTTCTGTCTGTCTGTTTGTACATCGATCTAACTGACTGCGTATCTATCTATCTATCTATCTATCTATCTATCTATCTATCTATCTATCTATCTATCTATTCATTCAGTGTCTAATTTCTTTTACTATATATTTAGAAAGATGCACATGAAGATTGATAGACACATAGAAATACCAACTCACAGATAGATAGATAGAAAGATAGATAGATAGGAACAGACTTATGGATCGAAATATAAATAGACAGACAGACATACTGACAGATAGACAAAAAGAACGATATAAACAGGCTGAGAAAAACAGACCGATATGAACAGACAGGAACGTAGAGATTTAAAAAAGATTAAGATAGATAGATAGATAGATAGATAGATAGATAGATAGATAGATAGCCAGGCAGGCAGAAAATCAGATTGATATATTAATAAACAGACGGTGACAGACAGATAGACAGAGAAAAATATAAGTAAACTGATAGATAGAAAGATAGATAGATAGATAGATAGATAGATAGATAGATAGATAGGCAGACAGACAATTAGTTTGATATATTAATAGACAGATAGAAAAATATAAACAGACTGAGATAGATAGATAGATAGATAGATAGATAGATAGATAGATAGATAGATAGATAGATACGCACGCACGCAGACAGATAGTCAGTCTGATCGATATAAAAACAGACAGACAAAATAATATGAACAGATTAGATAGATAGATAGATAGATAGATAGATAGATAGATAGATAGATAGCCAGGCAGGCAGAAAATCAGATTGATATATTAATAAACAGACGGTGACAGACAGATAGACAGAGAAAAATATAAGTAAACTGATAGATAGAAAGATAGATAGATAGATAGATAGATAGATAGATAGATAGATAGATAGATAGGCAGACAGACAGTTAGTTTGATATATTAATAGACAGATAGAAAAATATAAACAGACTGAGATAGATAGATAGATAGATAGATAGATAGACAAATAAATACGCACGCACGCAGACAGATAGTCAGTCAGATCGATATATAAACAGACAGACAAAATAATATGAACAGATTAGATAGATAGATAGATAGATAGATAGATAGATAGATAGATAGTAATAGCCGGATCAAGAAATGTTCAATTGTCGGAAAATCGGTTGGTTTTTTCGTGTTAACAGATACTTAAATGTCGCTATTGATTAGCAGATAGCGTGTCATTTATTGGAAAAGGCAGACGAAATGAAACAGCAACGAAGTCTGTGAGACGAAAAACGGCTGTGGAATAAGGAACGTATAAATTGCGGTGAGAAGTGGAGACTGGCAGTCTTGGAGACTCGGCGGGAAAAGAAGGATTGGGACAGACGATAAAATGGAATATCTTCAAATAGGACGAGAAGAGAGACAAGTCTACAGGGTTAGAAAAATAAGGACAAATGTGTTAATGGCGGAGCGGGGAAGATAGGAAATTGTATTCGATAGATAAGAAGGCGATAATGACTTCGAGGAGGACGTCTTCTGTGATAAAAAAAAATGGGAGAGAAAAAAAAGCGAACGAGGTAAAATAAATTGAAAAGGAAGAAGAAAAGCAATGAATAAAATGAAAGATAGCAAGTGAAACGAGAAACCGAGAGAAAGAAAAAAAAGCGAATGAAAGAGATTAGAATGAATTGAAGGGAGCATTCATTACGTACAAGTGAATCAATTTGCTTTGCCGAAGAATAAAGATTGACAATAAGTGAAAAAAGGCCGATAAGGTCAAGAAAAGAATTTTATAGATATTTAAGACAGAGAAATAAAATTAAGGAATCATGAAAAAAGTGAAGAAGATCGATAAAGAAGAAAGAGAAAAAAAGCAAGTATATTAGGAATTAATATTTAACGAATATATTAGGTTGGTGCAAAAATAATGACGTAATAATGTCGTTTTTTAACTTATTTTTTAAAGTCAAAAAACAACATTATTACGTCATTATTTTCGCACCAACCTAATATAAAGAATTTTATTTAATATCTAACGAAATTATTTGACAAAAATATTTAATATTCAATATTAACGAAATTTAAATATTTTATTACCATTTAACGATTATTTAATTATTTATTTACTCAAATTAAATAATTTATTAATAATAATTATTACTAATTATAATAATCAATTAATATATAAAAATAAATATTCAAGGAAAATTTTTAGTTAAAATATTTAATATTTAATATTAACAAAATTAATAATAAATAATAATCTATTTTTATTTAAAAAATTATTTATTTATTATTTAATAATTTCTTATTAATAAGTATTAATAAATCAAATACTTAATATTTAACGAAAATATTAAAAACTATTTAATATTAACGAAATTGATAATAAATAATAATTTATTATTTTTTAAAAATTATTGATTTATTTATTATCTAATAAGTTATTATTAATAACTATTAATATATTAAATGTTCAATATTAACGAAATTGATAAAAAATCTTATTGTCATTTAATAATTATTTATTTAGTATTATTTAATTATTTATTATTAATAATTATTAATAATTATAAAATTGTTTATTAATAAAATTAAATATTTAATATTTAACGAAAATATTTAAGGAAAATATTTAATATTTAATATTAGCGAAATTAATAATAAATAATAATTTATTATTATTTTAAAATTATCTATTTGTTATTTAATAATTTATTATTAATAATTATTGATAAATCAAATACTTAATATTTAACGAAAATATTTAAAAACTATTTAATATTAACGAAATTAATAATAAATAATAATTTATTATTTTAAAATTATTTATTTGTTATTTAATAATTTATTATTAATAATTATTAATAAATCAAATACTTAATATTTAAGGAAAATATTTAAAAAAACTATTTAATATTAACGAAATTAAAAATAAATAATAATTTTATTATTTTTAAAATTATTTATTTATTATCTAATAATTTATTATTAATAATTATTAATAAATTAAATATTTAATATTTAACTAAAATATTTAAGGAAACTAATTACTATATAATATTAAAGAAATTAATAATAAATAAAC